AGCATTTTCGCTTATGAATTTAAACAAGTGCAAAACACGGAACAGGTTAACCAACAAGAATTTGGAAAATCTGCTGGTTGTTTCAACATCTGCCATTACGCCAGACATCAAGAAGATTGCCGCCAGCATCCAATCTCAGCCATCGCATTAATCACTTGGAGGTCCGGCCCCCAGTCAGTAAACTTAATCCTAATTTGGCCCTTCTTGAAAAAAGGTTGTGCATCCCTGAATAGTTGAATACACTACAAAGTAAAAGCCAATGTTATGGGAGATCTTATGCAGGATAATTACAACTTCTTATCAATAGTAGTATTTGTATAATTTGTCAACTTTTGATTTATTACTTCAATTAAAGAATTTAACATATAAAGGAAATCCAGCAATGAGTTGTTTAACTTTCCCAATGACATTTAAAATTGTGTGTGGAACCATCTGTTATGATAGTTTATTAAACTTTTTTTATATTTTTAATTACTATATTTTGATGAGTATAAGTCACACTTTTTTTACTACTTTTTGGGGCTCAAAATCATGGTGCATCTTATACTCGACAGGTAACCATTTTTACAGTGAAATTATCTACAGTAGTGGTCCACTCTAGGGACCAACCTGTGCAAGGGTCCGTTAAGCAGATGGTCCCTCAACCGAATGGCTAGAGTACCTAGATTATTAGAGTAGCGACACATGAGTCATCGCCGTCATATTCTGTTGACTGTCATCACGTGACCTCTGGTTTACATTAAGAAATGATGATTATTTCAGTTTAATAAAGATATCGATTCATCCATCCGTCATATTCTTGAATAAAAAAACGAATAAAATGCATCTTTAGACAATCCCATTAAAACAGATTTTTTCAAAATTTTTTGTTTCAAAATAGGGGTGCGTCTTATACTTGACAGCGACTTATACTCGTCAAAATACGGTATTATAAAATGGTAAAAAGCTTAATTTTGAAGGTAGGAATAAATTTTATAAAACACTTAATGATGATTTTACTCATTTAAGTCAAACCCTACTTGAGATATGACACAACTCCCTTTATATCTCCACTTTGTCGCCCTTGAACCACCAAAATTTAAGATCACCAATCTCCCTAATACACAAAACTCCATGCAAAATTTCAGAAATTTTTCAATAAAAAGCATAGGAGTTATTAAGCTTCAAAGAGGGTGAACAAAATTGTGCCCTCCAAACACAAATATACATACATGCAGAAGAAACCCTTACATTTTTTTGCATTTCTCAATGTTTCGAGGTCAAGTCAAAAAAGTAAAAATCTTGGTGGGTCATTTTCTGACTGATCACCATATTTCCCTATGTTATATAGTGTCTACTTGTAATGAATATACAGTAGAGTTTATATTAAAGTGTTAAGCAAAGATAATCATTTAGCAGATGAATTAGAAATGCATTTTGATCCAATTGTCCTTCCAGTCTAATTTATATAAATAAAAGTGTGTGTATTTTTTAAGATATAAACCAATAATTTCCATTGTTCACTTACAAATAGCTAAGTTAGGTTATTTTGATTAGCAACATTAAAATTTCTTTAAGATGCTACTTTTTACAATGATTTTTTTTATTAGTAACAAATAATCATTACATAGTAACCTTCAACTTGTTCTTGACAAATTCTTATTTTTTATATATAACATACCATAATAAGTTCTTTTTAATATTAATTATTTAATATTAATAATATATTATTGAAAAAGTTTTTTACTTTAAAGGAAAACCTTTCTAATTGTATGATAAGTCATCACCAGACTGGGTGCCAAGATTACACATGGGATGTGAGAGTGGCCACAACCCAACTGCATAAGGTGCATTATGAAAAAGCATGTAATCAGGAGATCTGTAAGCTTTCATTTGTGAGTGTAGTAATTTGTTGTCAAACACAAATAGTTTATGATGTCATCAAATTCTCCTTTAGGCCACAATGCTTGATCTACAATGAAGATGCTGGTTTCATATGGATAAAATTATTTTCTATCTTTTTAATATCTTAATTTTAAATTCAGTTCATGCAGAAAGCAGATACTTGACATAATGAAACTTTCTCTTTGTATAAAGCAGCATCTTGTCCTGTCAGACTGAGAATAGCCTGCCAGAAAAGCATCTTTTTAAACTTTGTTCATGCTAAAAAAAATACTGCCAACCTGTCAAATAAGCTAAGCAAGCAGAAGCTAGACCACAACAAAGCAAATGTGCATTTTATCAAGACATGCAACCTTGAAATTCCTCTGTAGGTATATTCACTTTTATTTCTCTCCTATTCATTTTCTTTATCTTCAACTCATGCTTTAATTATTATTATTATTATTATTATTATTATTAGACACTCTTATTTGAATTTTTATATTGAAAACTAATAAATTTCCAATAATTATCCCTACCCATACTTCTCTATCATTTCTAACATTGACAGTTATGATACAATGTGATAATTGCAATCCTAATACGCCATAAACTTATTAGTGCATGAAAACTCACTATAAAAAGAATTTTAATGACTAAAAATAATTATATACATTTAAAGCAATACCCCTAGTTTGACTATTTTATTTCTCTTTGTTTAAGTTAAAAAATCACACTTTTATCAATCCAGCAAATGATTTTTAATATCATAAAAACATTTTCAATCGTTTAACTTATTCACTATCCAGTATATAGTTTATTTTATGTTTCTCTTTGTTTATTGACAACAGCATTAGTCTGACATTTTGCTATGAAATCAAATAAAGATGAAATTGCAAGTTTGATTTACTTGCTTCATTTTTAAAAATTGTTTCATCAAAATTCACTTTATATTAATTAAATTGACATTTGCATAAAATTGAGTTATTATTTAATAACTTTTGAGTTATAAGACAATAGTAAAATAAATATTCTTGTACTGTTTTTCTTAAACAGCAATTGAATGCATATTAGTAGTGAATGTTTTTTGCTACCAGAGAAATTCAATATATTAAAATGTCATTGTAATTTGCAAAACAAAAATTTACTGGCAAGGATGTTGCAATATTTATTCTTCTTGCTTTTTGCTGGTGATTTGCTTTCTGCACAAACTGAGTTTAAAATTAAGATATTAAAAAAAATACATAATAGAATCTATGTATGTATGTCTCTTTAATCTGACATTAAGTTTGGTAGACTATCATTACAGCTTTCAGGTTAGACACTTCTTTTATTGTTTCCACATATGCATTTCAGACTTATATAAATGTTAAGTCCCTCTTCAATACAATACTATGGTTCTATCTTCTAAAACCACTGTGTACAATGGGTAACATTGGAAAGGTTTTAAAATACAGGTTTACAAATTAAAATTAAAATACAAATTTAAAATACAACCATTAAAAACACTGTATTTTTAATGGCTGTATTTTAAAACCTTTCCAATGTTACCCATTGTACACAGTGGTTTTAGAAGACAGAACCATAGTATTGCACTGAAGAGGGACTTAACATTTATATAAATCCGAAACACATATGTGAAAACAATAAAAGAAGTGTCTAACCTGAAAGCTGTAATGATAGTCTACCGAACTTAATGTTGGATTAAAGAGACATACATACATAGAACATAATAACAGCTATCCAAAAGTGATATTTACATAATAGAAGTTAATTTTAACAATGCTTATGTTATATATTTTATTATCATTTGATAAATAAAACAGCAATGAAGCAAAATATATTATAAAAGATTTTGTTCCTCAGCAACCAACTCTTTCATGACATAATGCTTTTTTATCTGTTATATGTCATGAAAGAGTAGAAAGATGAGATAGAAAGATTTAAACACAAAGTTTAAGCTACAAAGCTATAAGAATACAATTACACAGGAATACAATTAGAAGTATTTATACTTTCTAATTGTATTCCTGTAATTATTATAATTAATGTTAAAACATAAATTTTGGTAAATAAAATAAATGAACACAGCAAACATTAAAAAAATAAATAAATAAAAACAATTTGCTATTTTCAGCCACCATCTTATATTAACATTTGCTGTAGTTCACTTTACTCTTGTTTTGTGAAATTGTGATGAGTATCAAATTTGCTTTGCATAAATAACTTTTTTGCCAAACAATTGCCACATGATATCAGGTTATATTACTACTACTATTAATAATTAAATGTAATTTGGCACAAGAGGTAGGTATTAGATGCCATCTTTTGCTAATTTAATATTTTAATAATTAATTTTGAAGTTTCTGGAAGAAAAGAATTATCCCAAAGTGGGACTCAAATCTGTATTAAAATATTAATTTAATTATAATTATTAAACTTAATAAGAGATGGCACTTAATGCCTCCCTCTAGTAACAAATTATTTAGTAATTAATTAAATATGATCACAGAAAAGTAGCTTGATGTAATTTGGTGGTTGTTTAGCTTTACAAATGAAGATGACAGGTAAATAAAATTTGACACATTAAAATTAAAACAAATATTCAAAAACTTATTTATTAAAACTCTTATATTTGTTAAATTAAAATGTTTTTAATTTGGAAATTCAAAACATCATATAAAGACTTGACAAATTTTGTTTTAAAATATTTTACAAAACAAGGAGCACAACTAAGCTCTCTGTCATCTGAGGCAAATTAAGATCCTTGCACCTCTTGTTCTGGAAATTTGGGACATGAACAATATGTGATGAGTCAGTCTGCACCACTGCTAGTTTGCCTTTCTTCTTATAACCCTTTCTTCACATTGCCCATTACCTAACACCTAAAAACTATTCCTTATTATAATTTAGTTTTCAAATAATTGCACAGCCTCTTCTCTTGGTGCCCTCTTTACCTGGCATTCTGGGGTACATGCTTAGTCTTTCCCCTAGTTGTACTTCTGATATAACAGTTATTAGCCTGTTGTGCCATTTAATTATTATGAGTAAATATGATAAGTCCATTAATTTGTGAATTAAATATCATATATAAATGAATGTTTTTGTATTTAAAAAAATATATATATAAAATTTTTTAGGGCAATCCTGTTGGTCAAAGTGGTTTGGGTTTAATGTATTTATATGGTAAAGGAGTTCAAAAGGTAAGTTTCAAATTTTAAATAATAAAGATATATTTTATTTAAATATTCAAAAATGATTGATTAATTTATAATAATAAATTTTATGCCTAAGAATTATATAATTAAAGTATTAAATAGAATTATTAACAAATGTTAAAAATATTTTTGATAAATTTTAAGTCTCATACTATTTTTACATCATTTTAAATGAGTAAAATAAATTGTTTATATTTTTAATAAACAATCTGTTTTATTTTAAAATGAAAGATAATATATGAGAGTATATAATTCAGAGAAATTAAATTTTGGAAATTGAAATATTAAAGAATGATGACATTTTATTAATATTGCATTAAACATGTTCATCAAGTCATTTATATTTTACTAGTGGGCATTCTTTACAAATTCCCATGAGGCACAGTTTCTTTGACTTTTTTGTTCTTATTAATGTGCTCCCTACAGCTCTCTTAAAGTCCCAATCGTGTCATATGAATCTAGATTTCTACCTATTAAACATTCTATAAATACTTTAAAATAGTTTAATTTGTTTATTTACTTTTGCTTGTAAACCTCGATTTTAAATGTATCCGCCATTTTTTCAACAAATTTCCCGTGAGTCAATGCGCGACATTCACTGAGTCACAAGATGTTGTAAACGTCTGGCACAAGGTTAATCAAGGCATATAATAATTATTTATACCATTCTGTGTTATAAATAATAAATTCATATCAATAATAAATTCCTATTACAAATAAAAATAATTTATTGTTAATTTAAAATCATCGCTAGGGTGCCCCTAGTGGGCGTTTTAGGCAATGGATACCGTTACAGATGTGATAATGGCTTATATATATAGATTCAACTAATTTTTTTAGCTGTGCATTGCAATGCATATCATTATATTATTATTTTTTATGAAATGCTGATTTCATTGATCTCTTTATTCATTATTCCAGTTTTAATAGACTATCAACATTACATTTTTTTAAACTAAGACTAGAACTTAAGATCTAGAAAATTATATTTCTGTAGACAAAATATTTCAGTATAAAAGCAATGGTTCATTATGTATAAGAAACATGAATAAAATTTAAAGATATTGAAAGCAGAATTCTTAAAAAACATTTTTGCTTTCAATATTTCAGATTTATCCTGTTTTGCTATGATTTGAATGGAACATAAATAACAGAATTCTAAATAAAATTTAAAAAAAAATAAAATTTTGAAAAGTTACAACAACAGTATACCATAACAAAATGTATTTAAAATAAAACTATTCATAATACAATGAATGCAGTTGATTTTTAGATTACAGTAAAAAATGATGTGTTTTAAGCTTATGGTTATTATGAGTCAAAGAATTTATAATTTTATTTAGGCAGTTGGTAAGAACAATATTAACATTGTGATGGTTTCCACCAGAAAGAGAATGAGTGATTTATCTATTAGTTTTATTATTTTATGTTGTCCAAACAGGTGTAAAACCAAATTTTACAAGGACTGCCAATTTTATAGTATTTTTATTAACTGAAACATCTACAATGGTTTTCTGAAAATTTCATTTATCTATTAAATGAAGTTGGAAGTGATATAGGAATGGGAAAAGAGCCTGCAATTCTAATATATTTTAAACTTCTGTTCACACTTCAATTATATGAATGATATGACTTTTACAAACAAACCTCTCCTGATGTGAAGTAAACAACAAATATGCTTGATATCATTCTGTTTCTACTTGACACCAAAAGCTATTTGAAATTCACTGCTACTTATTACACCATGCTATGGTAAAATTGTGGGTATGAAAAGTTTTTTAAATATAATAATTCCTGTTATGCCTACATTAAATTGGCAGTTTATTTTACATAAAAATTTGTGGATCATAGAGATATGTGTATTGTTCATCAAACAATCCTGCTAGGTCTGTGATTCATGACTCACTCATCCACAAAATGACTTTGCATGGGAGACTCATTTCTGGAGTAGAGTACTTCTGTGAACTACTCAAAAAGAGTGTCTCATCATTGAAAAACTTTGTATCATCCTTAAAGTTTTCATGAGCATAAAATCCAAAAGTAGAAATATAAATAATGCTTGTATTTTGAATTTTAACTTGTGAAATACGTTTATGCTTATAAATTTTATATTTATGAAAATTTTAGGATATTTTGAAGGTAATTAACAAATCACAAGGTTTTTGGTTCATAAACAAGCTTAAATAAAATTTATACCAACTCTAGAAAAAAATTGAATTCTAAGTAATAATGTGAAATTCATTTCAAAAAGTAATCATCATTGGAAGAACATAGTAGTTTAGAATATAATAATAATTAAATGAATAATAAACCAGTCAATGTATTTCCTTCCTTTTAGTATCTTGGACATATTCAATGTACAGTAATACCTCGACTTACGCGAACCCGGAGTTACGTGATTTTCAAATCTCGTCGATTCGTCTTTTGTTTGAGCGCCACGCAACCCTTGATTACTCACTCCCCCCACACTATTCTTCGGCTTACATGTTCGGATGTGTCGCACGGAATCGACACATAGCTACAATTTATTTTGTGTTATTTATTTCTGTGTTTGTTATATCTATGGAGACTCGAAAGACTCTGTATGTGGTGATTTCTTGTAACCGTGAATGAATCAAAAGACGAGATAAGATTAACGAGAACATTTATTAGCTTACATACATTCGACTTGGATTTTAGACAAATTGTGAAATTATACCCCAACTTACGCGAATTCGACTTACGCGGTTATCGCTCGGTCCCACCTATCGCGTAAGTTCGGGGTATCACTGTATAGTCATTGCAGTTGAAAAGTGTAGAGCTTTCTTGTAGTTCAAGTTAACTTGAAATTAGAAATAATAACATTTTGAAATATTTTTTTACTCTGGTCTTTAAATTTCAAAGTTGTTCATTTTTATTAATCTCTCAATATTAATGTGTATTTATCCTATTTTAATTGGAAAAAAAAATGTAAGTTTATAATTTTTAATTTAAAATGTTAGCAATTAAATTGTGGTAAATGGTTAAATTTATTCAATAAATGATTAATCAATCCTATATTGGATATTAAAATATTAAAATATATTCATTTTTAAGCTATATAAAACCTTATATGTTCAAAATAGATATATTTATTAAATACAAAACATTACTTTTTCTATTAGGATTATTCAAAAGCTTATAAATATTTTAATCTTGCTGCTAATCAAGGATGGGTTGATGGACAGTTACAGCTTGGTAATATGCATTACAGTGAGTATTATGTTTACAAATTACTTTGAATAATACAATAATATGTGTAGAGAATTTTAAAAAANCGATAAGTTGTTTAGGGGTACAGAAAAAAGTTAGTTATTATGGCAGAAAAAATAATATATTATGTATCACAAATTAATAGTATTAAAAAATTATTAGGTAAAAAATGTTCCTTGCAATAATCACAAACTTTATTATACATTTCAAAATGCAAAAATAGAAATAAAAACTTATGCTGCCAATTGTACAATGCAACAGATCAATAAATGTTTTGCAGTCGGTCAATGGTAGCAGGGATACCATTAAGCGTGATTAGTGATTATGCTACAGACTTTTGATGGTGGGGTTTACTGTCATTATTATTATCTCTGAACAATATCCCAACGTGTTGTTTGAAAAAAGTATTTTTTTTTTGTTTATAAAAAGTGTTTTTTATTGTTAGCAAGGAAAAGGACATAGCTAGTTTCTCCAGATTTTTCTCTACAAGCAGTAATTTTTTTCATTATTTATTCAGTATTTTTATTAATTTTTTATTGACAAGACTATGTCTTGTTTATAAAATTGTACTGCCTGCTGTGTTACCAACTTAGAGGTATGAAGGAGTACAAGTCAGAAGTTGCAATTTGGCACAGAGTATTAGGTGCCCAAATCATGCACGCATAAAAAAAAAAGACTTGTAGCTACTCAGGGGACCGAGAACCGAGTCAAAATAAAATTCAAAGTGGCGACACTCTCTACAAACAGGCAGTGCAATATTTGCACATGCTGGTGGGAAGTTGGAAATGCCACAGGGGGTACGCTAATGAAAAAAAGGTTGGGAACCACTGGTCTATAGTATACTATTTTTAGTGTGTGTATGTATGTTTGTGTAATTTGATGAGGAATATCTCTTGAAGACTCTTGAATAAATAAAAAAAAATTATTCCTTGAATAAGTTTTATGATGTATTTCATGTGTAGATACTGATTATGCAGTCATATTTCCCGATTTTCCGAGATTACTTATTAATTAGTTTGCTGGAATCCGTTTCTCATATGCAAAATTAATCTGTGATTTAGACATTTCAGATGTGTAATAAAAAAAAAACTATTAATCATATATAACCATTACATATAAAGTATCTTAGACATCAGTAAAAACTAATTTAATCAGTTTCTATATAAAATGGTTTTCTTATACCCTTAAGATATCCAATTTTATCTTAAAAATTCTTGCTGAAATACATTTGTATATTATTTTTGAAGTTGTTCTATTTTGTGAAATTTTAATGTTTCTTAGCAGCATTTAAATGAAAGTACATTTAATTAACAGTAAATCTTGATCCATTATTTTTAAGACCAGCTACAGTTTTGAATATATTTTCTTAAAATAAAATTTAACCTTAAGTGTTACAGTTTCTTTAATTGAGAGTTATAACCTATGTAAATTATATTCTCAATTAAAATAAGATATTTATAAATGTATAAAATATTATTGATACATATTGGATGTAATAGTTAATGTAATTGTCAATAATGTTTGAATGCAATGCATAATGCAAAATTAATTTCTAAGACTGAAAAAATTTACAATTTTTACTTTTAGAATTTTTCTTTTCTCATTTATAGTTTAAGAAATTTATTTGTATTGCACATTATATTAGATCTTTATTATGTGTATTAATAGAAAATTATCATTTAACTAGCATTTGGGATTTATGCATGCAGTGGGCATTGGTGTACCATCAAACCAAGCAAAGGCAAGTATTTAATTATAAAAATTATAAAAAGAAAGTTCATTAAAAATATTTAATGGTAGTTAAACTAAATCTGTAACACTTCTATAACAAATATATGTTGTATTAAATTATATTTCATTTAATTTCAGGCATTAGTCTATTATACATTTGGAGCTTTAGGAGGAAATCCATGGGCTCAAATGGCATTGGTAATTATAAATGATCAGTTTAAAATATAAAAGTGTTAGCATTTAATTAATAATGTAAAATTATAAGTTTTTAAAATAATTTTATATATAGATGTAACTTGACTTCTAAACTACTAAACATGCAACTATTATAAGTTACTTATAAAAACAAAATCATTCACACTTTTCAAGCAAATGGGTTTAATGAACAAATATTTTCTGTTTATTTTATAAATTTGCCTCAGGTTTCAAACTATAAAATTCTGAAATTCCAAATTGGAATTTGTGTAGTTTAAAACCTTATAATTTGAGGCAGGTTTATAAAATAAACCAAAAACATTTGTTCATTAAACCCATTTGCTGGTAAAGTGTGAATGATTTTGATCTTCAGTTCAGTCATCTTCATCTATGTCATCAGTTCCAGTTTTGATTTTGGATTTTATTATAAGTTATTTCATTTATTATAAGATCATACCATAAAGCATTCATAGTAGCCATATCAGTAAATGCAAGGTGTATATGATTGTACAAAACAAAGCAATTACACTGCTAACTATATAACTGTACACATAATCTTATATATTCTGTTATACACTTTAAAATGCCTATAATAAATAGAATTATTAAATATACATTATTTTTTGTCACTAGTGACATTGATTACATACAAACATTGCTAAACCCGATATATAATATAACTAAACACCAACCATATGTCGAAAATATATCGGGCTAGTTTAAGGCTACTTACTAAATGAATTACGTAACCAATTTGGCCCTAGAGGTAAGCGTTAGGTTCTAAATTATTTAAATTAATTAATTTATTTATAATAATTAATGTTAATAAGGGATGGCGGCTAACACTTACCTCTAGGGCCAAATTGGTTATGTAATTCATTTAGTAAGTAGCCTTAAACTAGCCTGATAGATTTTCGGCACACGGTTGGTGTTTAGCAACATTGATTACTGTGTATAGTCACCTTAGCATAATAATTTCTTATGGTATGATACTTTTGTAGTGATCTCATGATATCTCATCATCTGGCATCATGTTTTTGTTGCATACACTATGTTGGACTTATGACCAAGCTATCAGAATAGAAGCTTGTTGTAAGTTGAAGTATATCTGTATGTAAATTTTAAAAAATTGATAATTATTACACAAATTACTATGAATATTATCTGGTTATAATTTAGAAATACTATCATTATCAGACAAAACTTTGTATTTTGGAAATGTTTGCAGTTTTTTTTTTCGTATATTTCTGTAGTTAGTCTGTAAATAGAATTTTTAGATGGAATCTTTTGAAAGATATTTCAAAATTTCATATAGGGTCATTTAATTAGACAACTCTAACAAACCTTTAGATAACAATAACATAGAGAACTAGAATTAGTAAATGGACAATCATGATGTATCTTTATCTAAAAGATCTGTTGTGCAAAAAGATAACATATATAGCAAATAATTTGTTTTCAAAAAGATATTATCACATTAAGAAATTATTTATTAATCATGAGTGAGAATGTTGTTTAAACTTTCTTCAGAGTTATGATAGATCACAAAGAATAACAAGAACATAATTTAGTTGATTCTTAGTGTTAAACAGCATCATTGCATTAAACTTCTCTAAGGCTATTTTTGTTAGAAATGTATGGCTTGCTAGCATCACTGTTTATATACTTGTGAGAATATGGGTGAGGGTAAACCCTCTTGTTGTCAGAACCATTAGTTCTGCTCACTGGATCACTGGATAGCATTTTAGGAGGGCTAATAGTCGAGTGGGGAGAGTCATGGGTATGTTTGATTGGTATCCATTAAAACAAAAGAACAGGCAAGTAGATTAACAAATAACAAATAAAATTTAATGAATACAAGAATAAACTACATAAAGAAATAATCTATCACTAAATCGAACATCACCTAAGTATATTTCTAACTACTGAAAGAGAGTTTACAATAATATATATAATAATACCTCTGTCAGATTAGTATATAGTCTAGTCGATGTGTAAAGCTTTTCTTCTGATATGGAGATGGCTGAAGAATGGGAGGCAGATGATGGAGAGCCAGAATGGGGCTATATACTCTTTATGGCATCCATACTTTCATGTGGCAGTGTTTGTTCCTCCTTCGACTGCTGCCTTCCTCTATGGCAGTCTGTGTTACTTTCTGTTGCTGCCTTCCTCTATGGCAGTCTGTGTTACTTTCTGTTGCTGCCTTCCTCTATGGCAGTCTGTGTAACCTTTGGTTGATGCCCTGAGAATATAATTTCTCTGCCTTTTATTCTAATTTCTCTCCAGTTGGGTTTTATTGTTTGTAAACATCTGACAGGATATTATTTCTGACACAAATGGACAGATGTTCGTTGGAGATGTGTGATGACATCTTTCTCCAAAGGAAGTTTTACTTTCCTTCCCATGAATTTGACAGAAATGTGTTAAATTCGACATCAATTTAATATTTTAACAAATTCTTAATAAAATTAAAATATTCTGGATTCTCACATACATATCATTTGAATCTACCATAACAACACATGGTAGATTCAAATGTTTGAATCATATGACTGTTAAAAAACTTGTTCATCTGAAAATGAAGAATAATATCCAAAAAGTTAGTGTTTAAAAAATAAAACTGCTCATCTGTACATAAAATCTTTATTTGATTTTATTTTAGAGTTAAACAGAAATTGAATTGTTGAGCTTAATGAGTCCATTATGTATTAAGCAAGTATATTANAAAACTGAAGTAACTAATAATGAATGAAAGTATTCAGATGATATAAAAGATTCTTAACATATAACTTGGGAATTTTTTTGTAATTTATGAATCTATTTATGCAATTTTAAAAACTTGACAGATTGATGAATGTGTAAAAACATTAAATCAAATATTTGAAAATAGAGAGAGTACTTCATTTTATTACCACTAGGGAAAAAAATAAAGATATTTTGACTGGAATAAATGAATGATTTTTTACTTACTACTATCAGACTTTATTAATATAACTTAATAAAAATAAATTAAATTGGAAATGGATCAAATTAGATTTATAAATCAGAATAAGTATTGGAAAATGTTTTGAATC